AATCAAAGGCACTTTTAAATTTGAACTTTAATTCTATTTCTCCACAGACAGTGAACTTTAAGGATCCCAATTTTAAATATTTTTAGATCTTCTAATTTTGATAGGCTACTTTAATTATTTTATTTTACTACATTTCATTTTATTCCATTTTACGAACGACCCCACAAGCGTGTAGTCGCTTTAACAATTATCGTGTTTAAATAAAGTCTTTGTATTGTATTGTATTGTTGTATGAATTTCTTCCTGATTCGTTCCGCTTGAGGTCCTGGGGTGTTTTTTAGTAATGCGAGTCCGTCGTCTCTGTATAGTCTTGAAACTTGAAGCATGAAACCACGAGTCACGGAAACTTTGTTTCGTTGTTGATTTTACTATTTCTATTTACGCTCTATTTTATGTATTGAGCACTATACAGCCAGCTAAAGCATCTCCTCCATATAATTACGCTCCTGACCCCGTTTAGTAGAGCACTATCGCCGCAGCTGACTCTCTTCAAGATGAAACAAGTTAGATTTGGATTTTCCAAACAAGTACCTGACATGCCTGATCGACAAAACGGAAAGCGTCGTCAAGCGCATGCGATGGAAAGCCTACTTCTTTGACAACTCGCAAGACCTCGACACCATGAAAAACGAAATTTTCGGCTTCAAGTCTAGAAAATTCCCGCCTCCAAATGGCGATCTAAGCAAGTTTGAATCCGACCTTTTTGATTCTTTGAAGTTCATAAAATTCAGGAAAATACAAGATCAGTTTCTAGACCAATTAAACCGCGATATAATAAAGATCAAGATGTCATCTAATGCCTTCATTCCAGCTGACAAGACCACCAACTACTACGAACTTTCCAAAGCGCAACACGACAAACTACTTCACAACAGCATCACCACTTCCTACAGAAAATCGAATACCAATACAGCTGATTTAATCAACGAAGAAGCAAAACGCACATCCACCAACCTTAATCTCGCAGACCACACCGAACTCATCGCTACGAAACATGCCTTCATCTCGTTAAAGGAAAGACAACTTCGCTAATAAACTAACATGCCGGCTAATTAACTCCGCTACGAATGACTTAGGCCACATCAGCAAGTCTATCCTAGACAAGATTAACAACAGCATCCAAAGTAAAACATCTCTCAACCAATAGAAAAATTCTTCAGAAGTCATCAACTGGTTCAAACACATCCCCGACAAATACAAGCACTCCTTCATTATATTCGACATCGACAACTTCTACCAGTCCATATCTGAAACCCTCCTATTAGATGCTATCAACTTCGCCAAAACGAAGCAAACGATCTCGCTGCCCTTGCTTATATTATAGAAATTGTTGTGCCTGCTTTCGTCCTTCTCTTATATGTTGTGGAGACATTGAAGCAAACCCAAGCCCAAAGAAGTCGCAAAAATGTCAAGAATGTGAGCAGACCTTAAGGAAAAATCAGAAGCATACAAAATGCAAATTAACTTGCCTTGCAGTAAGTTGTCAAAGCATCAAGAACAAAGTCGTCAATATTGCTGCAATCGTCCATCAATACAAACCAGATATAATTCTCGGCAATGAGTCCTGGTTATACCCAGATATTGAGAACAGCGAAATCTTCCCAGATAATTATAACATCTATCGAAAAGACCGCATATCTGACAACCATGGTGGCGTTTTCCAAGCAGTGAAGAAAGACATTATCGTTACTCATCGTGATGATTTGAATACGGACTGTGAGATTATTTGGACCCAATGTCAGATCCAAAATAAAAGATCAAAATCTCTATTCTTCGCTTCCTTCTACCGCCCAAA